AAAATTTCACGATGCTTCGCAATTCAACGTCACCTATCGACGTCATGTTGTTTACTCAGTGGCTCTGGGCAACAACTTTAAAACAATGTTGATCCATTGAAAATTTAAATAACGTTATGATATTTTCAGGAGATGATGTCATGACGTTCCGCTGCTGACCAGCGTTTTCGCGCATTTTTTACGTTATCAAAATTACGAAATATTATTAGTGTAGCGCGTTATACCTTTCTTTAGAGTCGAACTGCTCCGGTGCGGCGTTAAAGTGTTACTATGGTTACTGCTATTTCCGGCTATTGTTGTCTGATTCTATTCAATTTTAAGGAATAGTTCCGTGATATGCTAATCTTGGTACGTGCAAAATATTACGTCTTAGAAACAAAACATTTAGGAGATATGACAAAATTCTCAGAACTTCCCGAACAACCCTCGTATTTGTTATACTTTATTCACACGATTATCATTTCATATTATAAACACATTATTTTGGAAATGAAGTCATTTGTATTACTTTCAAATTTGTGAAATTAATATATATTGCAAAATTATTTAGAACTTATAGACGAATTGTTGATTAGTGGTGCATATGTGAGTAACTTTCACTGTGTATAATTTTTATAGACATTGACAAGACAAAAATGTGAAGAATTTATTGCACGTTGAATTACAAGTTTGTGAAAGTCAGATAATAACCTTAAGAATATACAATAATCATCATTTCAGTTAATTTGACGTAGATCATAGCTATGTATACTTATTGTGCTGTCCGATCAAAACATTTAATGTTGAGTATCTTCACATAACTAAACATTTGTTCAATTTTAATATTTTCGTTAGCTTACGAAATGCCAAAAATTGAGTTGTTTACAGTTATGTTAAATTTTGTGTTAGTTATTGAGACGTCAAAGTGCTTAACGTTTTGTTAACTAATTAACAAAAATATAAAAAGGTAATCCCACAATGCAGTGTATTACTTTCCGTCACAAACAACGAAATGGCCGATAATAACTATCCACTTCAATAAGAATTACTTAGAAAATCAGGTGATGAACAAAATTACATAACATAACATAACATAACATATTCTTTATTTGGCATAAAACGACAATATACATTTATAGCCAATACAGTAAACAATCATGTAATGTAAGAACATGATATACAATATAAATACCATAATGTTTTACAGAGAAAGTTCTTGTTGCTACAAAATTTGAATAAATTTAAGTTCCTGTTATCTTACAATAGAAGAACATCATTGATAATATAAAGACCTTGACAAAGTTAAAATGTTGTATTTGGTGCTACAAAACTTGAATAAATTTAAGATGCTAACTGTTGTCATTTCTTTCTTTAAAATGGAAAATACAAAAATTTGACAAGATACTAACTGTTGTCAGTTTTTTCTTAAGATGAAAAAAATACAAAAAAAATTGACAACTGAATAAATTTAACCTACTAATTGTTGTCAACTCTTTCTTTAAATGAGAAATACGAAAAATTTGACAAGTAAAGTAATAACTGTTGTCCTTTTTTCATGTGAAAAATAAAAAAAATATATATGACAAAGACAAAAATATACTAAATGTTGTCAGTTCTTTCTTTAAATGAAAAAATACAAAAAATTTTGACAGGTTATTCAACATTTGGGTATTTGTTGTAGACATTAGTTTTTCAAATTTATGAATTGATGGCCAACGACAATAGTATGGTTTCAAATATTTGCGCGACGTAAACTATAGTATTTGGGGCAAACTAGCAAAAAATGGAATTCATTTTCTATCACGTTTAAATTGCAATTCGTACATAGTCTGTTTTCTCGCGCTACGTTTTCGTATCGACCCGTTTCTATTGCTAGGTTATGGGATGACAATCTAAATTTTGTAAGTGATATTCGAAAATTTGTTTATGTTAACTTTATTAAGATAGTCTTCAGTTTCGAGTGAGCGTTTATAGATGCTGTATGACGATAGTCTACTAGAATTTCTTATATTACTATACCATTCTTGCTTGTAAATGTCCAATATTCTATTTTTAACTTGTTGAAAATTTATTGTTATATGTTCTTGATTAATCCATATGTTCGACATTCCTATATCATTTAAAATCTGTTTAATTTGGCATGCCCAGTTGTTACCACCATAAGAAAGACCGTTTTCTGCATCAAATTTTAAGACATTATACATACGTTTAAGCAGACAGTCATTTTGTAAACTAATTAATTTTGTCCAATATTCTAACATTATAAATTTACGATGTATTCGCATTGGATGTCTACCGGTTTCGCCATAAAGACCATCCAAGTTTGTTGCTTTCTTAACACACAAGACTTTTCTGAGAAATTTACAATGGATCGTTTCTATATTTTTTCCTTCTTGATATCCATAAACTTCAGCACCATAGTTTTAAAACTGAGCCTACCATACTATCAAAAAGTTTAAATTTGTCTCCAATAGATAATTCTAATTGATTAAACACTGTAAATAAATTATGCAATGAAAACGAAGCATGTTGTGCTAATTTCTTTTGAGTTCTATTCCAATGTCCATTTTTAAATAAATTAATCCAAGATATTTAAAAAAAATTTACGTTTTCCAGAACTATGTCATTATATACGAAATTGTAACTTGTATGTCTGCCTTTTTCAAAAATCATAATTTTTTGTTTTATTAGTATTAACTTTAAGTCCCAAGTTTGACAATATACTTGTAAATCATTTAGCATAGATTGGAGTGCCATAGGCGTATGTGCAAATAAAACGGCGTCATCCGCGAAGAGCAGCAGCAAAATATTTTAGCGTCGTCGATTTTAAAAAGGTCTTCTATATTGGAATTTATATTTTCTACTATATCATTCACGAAGTATAAAAATAATAATGTGGAACTGGGGTCCCCTTGTTTTTGCGCCAATATTTGAATCGAAAAAAGACGAGACTGTTTTGTTATATCTAATAGCAGCTTTAACGGATGCGTACATACATCTTATAGCCGTTACAAATTTTGAACTTACATTTTCTGACAATAATTTCTGAAAAATAAATGTTCGATCCAATTTGTCAAAACATTTTTCGAAATCGAGGAAACAGCAATATAATTTTTTTCTTTCTGATAATGACTTAACGATTATAGAGTGTAAAAGAAATATGCAATCCGTTGTGGATTTTCCCTTCTGGAAACCATACTGATTGTCAATAATTTTACTATGTTTAACGGACCACTTCGTTAGACGATTAAGTAAAATTTGAGAATAAATTTTTTGCAATTATATTAATGAGGGTTATGCCCCTGTAATTCTTAGGATCCTCAACATTTCCCCCTTTAAAAATTGGTACAATAATACCTGCTCCCCAATTATTGGGATATTCCCCATTTTCGAAAATTCTATTATAAATTGCTAATAAAAATGGTGAAATAATATCAAAAGAATGTTTATAGATCTCCGCAATAACAGAATCCGCCCCAGCGCTTTTATTATTATTTTGGGAAAAAACTGCCTCTTTTATTTCCGAGATTGATATAGCGCTATCCAAATCGTCATCTGTTATTAACATTGGATTCGTAACTTGATCTCTGTCATTCGTTTCCACGCTATATAAATTCTTAAAATGACTAAATAAATCAGAAATATTTAAATCATTAGCATGAACAGGATTTTTTGCGTATTGTTTCTTAACCCTTTTCCAGAATTTGCGCGGTTGCGACTTACTTAATTTCGTAAGCGTTTTAGCTTCGCCCAATTTATATATTTTTTTACTTTTTCTTATCGTTTGATTATACATATTTTTTGAACGTAAATATTGTTGTCTTAGGTTATCATTGGTTTTATCTTTTAAAAATAAGTTCCTAGTTCTCTTAAACTCTAATCTTGTATTATAGCAAATTGTATCAAACCACGGTTTTTTTCTAGACGTGCATTCGCGAGTTTTTGACTTAAAAATGGCCCGCTCTTTACCAAATATCATTTGCGCCGAAGATTTTAAACTATTTACAAATAAATCCGTCACTTCATTTATATCCTCGTTATTTTTAACTCTATCTGTAAGTCTTGAGAATATATTTTCGTCTTGCAATAATAATTGTTTAAATTCTATTATTTTATCGTCATCCCATTTTAATATGATTTCTGTTTTAGATTCATCGTTTAATGGTTGGGCAGACTGTTTACTTAGAATATTAAGCGAGATACCCGAGTGATCAGAAAATTCATTCGGTTGTAAAACCTGAAAATCTGTGACGCAATCAAAATCATGAATATTTAAAAGCAAGTAGTCCACTACACTCGATCCATTCATTGAATGGTATGTAAATTCACCTGTACCAAGGTCATCGTGTAATCTACCGTTACCAATGACGAATGACGTTGATTGGCATAGCTCAATCAAGCGCCTCCCATTTTTATCAATTACCTTATCGCGTGAGTGTCGCGTAGGAATACATGGGTGATTCGACAATATATCGTCTGCATCAATATGCATGTCATAATCTAATATTTCCGAAAAAATCAGAGGTACGACTATTAAAATCACCTGTAACTAGACATTTACCCTGTAATTTATACTTCTCTAACCCAGTTTCTATTGCTTCAAAAAAGTCAAAATCATAATTGTCAACAAGTACAAGATTATTTGGAGTAATATACGTATTACAAATATAAAACATTTTTCTTCGAATGCAAAAAGATTCTTACCAAGTTCTACCCATATAAGTCCATTTTGATTTTTTTCCACTATTTTTATATTATTTCCTAGAAATTGTTTAAAATACACACTTATACCACCACTATATCTGCCTCTATGGGCATTACGCGATTTGTTACCAAATAAATGATCACTATAAAATCCATTTATGTTTAGATTAACAGGTTTATTTTTAGATTATCCATGTTTCCGATAAGAAAATAATGTCATATTTTTTTATAAGATTAATAAATTCCGGGTCTGATAATTTCCTACTTAGTCCATGTACATTCCATGACAGAATTTTAATGTCTTTCTCACGACATCTCTAGTCATAGATAAATACTTTCCCATTAATAAATTTCTTGGTTAACTTATTGTCAACATATAGTTTATTTCCCACGATACGGGTGTTCTTTCCAAGGTTCGCTTCGTCCTTCGCAGAGTCTGAAAGTGCTCGTCTTGCATCACGGTATTCTTGTGGCATTTGGACCCCGATACCCATCTTTGAATCATTTAGCAGTTTCTTAACGTCCTCTTTGTAGGATTTCATTCGGATTTCCTCTTTGTCTGCCGACCGCTGAAAATTAACAACAATTGGCCGTGGTTTTTTTGCACGATTACTGCCTAGTCGGTGTATCCTGTTAAATTCTATATTTGTTCTATCAATGTTTAGTTTGTCCTTCAGTAGTTGTCTTACTAGTTTTTCACAATCGTCGACTTCCGGTGTTTCCCCTAGCTTCGGCGTTTCCGGTTCCTGCAACCCATAGAAAATAAGGTTATCCCTCATGGATCTAGATTCTAGCTCTAAAAGTTTATCATTATGTACCTCCTCTCTCTCCTCGTAGTCCCTGAGCTTCCGTTCCATATCAACACATTTTTTTTTGCGCTCTCCGTAGTTCCTCTTTGTAACGTTTTATATCCACTTTTTGGAGCTCGAACTCATCACTCACAAATTTAACTGATGTTTCCATGTTCAATGTTTTACTTCTAACGCTATAAGTTTGGTTTCCATCTCCGTAATTTTTACACTGATTGTTTTTACAGATTGGTCAATTTGGTCTATTTTAGGAAGCACTGTTTTAATTGTTTTTTTAAGTCCTCCATCATAGTGTTCGCCCACATGGGTACAGGCTGTGGAGTTGCAGGGAACACTGCCGGTCCAAGCGGAGATGTTTTGCATTCCGAGGGGATATTGACTGTTGAAATTCATAACGGGTGTATTGCTATTCATCATAACTGATTGTACATAATCCTGTGAGTTCGTCACGCCTAATGCTCCCGAGCCATGTTCAGGTGTGTATTGGACGCCATTCTCAAATTCCGGTGACCCGCTAGCTTTCCTTTTCTCGCGTTTCTGCTTCTTACGTTGAGATTTTGACAAGTTTTGTTTATCCGACATGAAAATAGAACACAAAATACAGCTGGGTCATAGACTAATAAAAATGAAAACTAATGAAATATGATACGTCATTTTTGGTTGTTTGGTCATTTAACCAGTACCTTAGTACCTTCATGGAACTATGCATACCTTGACTGACTTGAGTGTGATTTATTTCTAGTGTGCAGTTTATATATGGGCAAACATATTTTTAAAGTTATTTAACATTGATATTCTTTGTGTAAAATGCCAGTATATATCCTGCTTACTTTTGTGATTATGTGCATTTTACACGTAGATGTACAGCAGAGTCCACCTGAACTTGATCTTAATGTGATCCTTTATTCCAAGATCTTGTGAAGCATTTGACAATGTACCATACATTAAATATGCATTCTAGTCTGATAAATATTAACCAACCAGCCTGCATATAAAACAAACAGTGCTTGCAATTCATTTTTTTAAAATGTTCCAGTGTTTACGCTACAACCTATTCCCACATGCATATTTTCCTCGTTTTAGCATCTGTATCAGTGTTTAATCCATAATGTTGGATATATCCATTTGTGAAATATTAAAACTGGGTCTTAGAAAACATGTAAGCCAAGTCTGAATGATTAATTACATTTTAAAACACTTTTTAACACTTATAATTATAGCTGTTGACAGTTAACAACTTACACTATAACGCCATGTTTAATTTTTGCATTGTGGAAATTGATGAGTCAATTAAATGTCAGACTACCCAAATAATTTTACTTCCATATGCTTATGTTATAAGCATATGTGGAGGTCACCGTCAAATACATGGCTTTATCATCGATATTATTGAATAATGACACGTTGTTAAATGTTTGTGAACTTTTTTGTCTTAAGGATTATACATGAAGTTCACTAATCAAGGTCCTCAAACATTGCATGGATTTTGACTTATTTATGAATTTTCTCAACTTACAAGTAACAACAATGTATTGTTAAAATTATGCATGCATCATCAATATTCAAAACTGTTGAGTGTATTATATGAAACAAAGCTTCATTCGTGTCTTGAAATTATAGTTATAATTCCTTATTAAGACCCATAACCTTGACATGAATTTTATAAAAAATACCCATTTTAACAGAAATAAAACCTTGTTCACAAAATTCCAAAAGCTCATGAGTGATAGTATATCTTATTTAAAAAAATCTGGAAACAAAGCGATCCCTCGAAAGCATTAATCACAACAAAGTTAAAAAATAATTGCAGACTCGGTTTGATTGAGTTTGTACATGAGGGATAATGAATACGTGCAACATCCCTCACGCCCCCTACCACCGGCTTGAGCGGTACTCAATACTCAACACTTAATAGTGCTGGCATCAATGATCCCGAAGGACCAGAAAATATAACAACACTGTAGTGAAGTACGGGGCAACTTTTTAAGGCTGCCACACAGCATTTGTCACCTGCTGTTGTGAAGTAAAACAATCATCTAGAAACAAAGTGATCCCTCGGAAGCATTAATCACAACAAACTTACAAAAGAATTGCAGACTCGGTTTGATTGAGTCTGTACATGAGGGATAATGAATACGTGCAACATCCCTCACGCCCCCTGGCACCAGCTTAAATCAAAAGACACCTTCAACTTAACATTTTCTTATCTTATTAATGAAGTTATTGATTGACATTGTATTAACAACTGATTTGTATATTTGAGTCTGACTGGCTTGTTCAAATAATTATATCTTATTTTCTCATTTCAATAGATATATGTCTTAAAATGTCTGAAGAAAATATTGTTTAGTGTTTTTGTATATTTATCAAACAATTATGAATGAGGTATATTTAGCAAATAGTATAAATTGCAGTTTACTATAATGCACAGCTAGAAGAAAGTGAAGGCAACAATAACATAGCATAAGGTTCAAAATACAAACATTTACTCAGCATATTTACTCTCAAAATTTCAGCAATAAGTATGCCAGTTTATACAATTTAAATTTAATTTTCTATTATAATTATCTATATAATGCAGTGCTCAATTTTACCACACACAAGTATTGAGATCATAACTGATTAGTTCCTACATATGTTTTTATTGTTTGACAGGTTTGCATGGTTATTTTACAATTGTGTAGATGAAACTTTTAAAAACTTAATTTGGACATCATTCACATGTATTTACATGGTAGAGATTTTAATCCAAACCAGCACTATCGTTTTAACATTTAATAAGTATCACTACTGACTTGTATAAATTAGAAATGTGTTTTGTTTGTTCTTCCCACCTACAATACAAAGTGAATTTGCCTCCTTTCCAAATTATTATTATCAAAATTATGGAATGTACAATTAATATCTCAGAATTATCAAATACTCCATTGTTTACACATAATGCATGATGACCTGTTACTGTCAACATTTATATCATTGAATAAGGTACAATTAAAGTCAAATGTATTTAAATTTGAAATAAAACTTGCTTTTAATGCACTCATTTAAAAAAGAAAATTAGAAAAAGTTTCCTACATAAATACCAAACCCTATTTTATTTGGGTTGGAAAGGGGACAACTGTTTTTATTTTTTGGCCTTATTGAAAATAATGAAATGGTGAATCATCGAGCTTTATATAACTTTATAGTAAAGTATCTGTTTGAATCCAGGGTTCAAATAACATTTTATCCACTCTCATATTTGTTGAAAAAATGAAAATAATGTTTCCAGATGATCATGGCAGTTTATTACTTATATAATTATAATATAGCAACTACCCATTTTCACACTGAAATACCACATTTTACAATTTATTATTTGGCATGAAACTGACATCAGACAAAAATACATACAAATAAACATATGAGCCATTGGTTTGAATGATTTTAATTAGATATTTAAAGTGAAGATTTAAACTGACAAAAGAAACAAAAACTAAAAACCAACCAATCTGATACTGATAGTAGAGGGTTCTTTTTAAACAAAGCAGTATCGAACCAGTGGTGTCAGATTTTGGAAATCAGCCCTATATATGGTTTTACACTGGCAGTACAATATGTTGTCAGCTTGTTACTCTAATGATCCAAAATTAGGTAGAATGAGGTAACTTTATTTGTTTAGTAAAGTTACAGAAAGTCAATTTAATTACAGACAGGAATAAATTAATGTTTGTTTGTTTGTTTATGTTGAATTTATAAGATAATCTTAATACTGATTACTTTAAAACTTGTTTATCAGTATCACACTTCAACAGATTCAGATTTTTATGAAAATTAATTTGTTCTTATACCACATTGAGGCTATTGATAGTAAATGGGACTTTCTTAAATTCCTGTGTAAATTGTTTAAAATTTTGTTATGATTGAGAATGATGTCCCAACGGTTGTAATTGTTAAAAATGGCTGTTTTAACAAAAAAATAATGCTATTTTTTTCTGAATAATTGATATTTAACAAAGATATTTAACAAAATAATTAACAACACGTTAACGTTAACAATGTTTGAACAACATAATTGCATAACAACAAAATTTAACGCATATATTAACATTAATGTGTTTATTTAACAATGATTTATTTGTTAAATATTGAACAAAAATTTGGAACAACTGGGCCAATGTTTATAAACCATGATGTTTGTGTGTTTTTTCTAATAGTTGTACGGATTTAAGTAAAATACGAAATTGTTATCAATTGTTTATAGCAATTTTACCTGTTAACCTTCTGGTAGCAACTTTATCTACACATGACATTAGTGCAGCCGATGTTGGGCCGGCACATCCATACTGTCTGATCATGGTCTTCACTGTTTGATATTCAGTCGGTACACATATGGTAATTTTTCAGAGAAAACGGTGAACGGTTTTGCCATATGAACCCATTCATACGGTTATGATATATAAAGTCTGGTCCTTCTTTATCCAGAATTTCCATTACATATTTTTTGACAAAGTGCATTTACAAAATAACGATGATATGTTATATACCTGTCCAGCATATCTGTAATGTTTCACTGATTAAATGTCTTTAATAATCCTGTGTTGCATGCTTTAATTGTCTGCATGTTCCAGTTTGACACATACTTATTCATATTGCAATAACTTACGATGAAAACGGATGTTTTCGTTTTGACTATTCAACAAAAATTTTTTTATACGCGAAAAAGCACTCCAGGGTGCAATCAAATGTATATATATACAGTAGGGTGAACGTTTCGGTTGTCAAAAATAGCGTTTTTCGTGCGTCCGTTTTTCGTGTAACGTGCGTGCGTGTATCGTGCAACGTGCGTTTGCTGAAACGCTTTCTCAAGCGTGCATCGTTTACAAGCGTTAAACGTTTATCGTTTTTCGTGTATCGTTTTTCGTTTATCGTGCGTTTGAAAGCGTGCGTTTGATATCCCCAGAAACGTTTAGCGTGCGTCTGCGTTCGTCTAAACGTTTAAGTACCGTGTTTTGTGTCTGTTACTATTCAAAAACATTATTAATTGTGATATTTTCATTTTCTCATGG